GAACCGTGGGAAGATGAACTGAACAAGATACAGCATCTAATTGTTTTAAGATGTCTCAGGCCAGATAAGGTGCAGGATGAAAGCTATATTAACATTGTACCTAGCATCCCACGCAGACGTTCTAAGGGGTTCGTCACACGTTCCTGCCACGTTGGGGAGGATTGCGTGACGAGCCAAAACAAGGTCTGCGTGGCAAATGAACGCCGAGTCGGAAATGGTTTGAAGTAAATGTGGTGCTCCTGGGTGTTTCGTGTCACAGAAACTGGAATAACCTTCAACCGTGTAGCTCCGGCGGGGTCATTTTTATACGGGAAAGCTCCTTCCCGAGGCCCGACCACTTGCCCTTTTATGTACCACTTTAATCGACAGAAAAGGTACCCCTTTCCTATACCTCGTATTGACGAATGCCTTGTTTAGAACTATGCATCCCTTTTAACTGCCGTAAATGTACAGTTTTAAAATCACAGAACCAGAACGTTTCCTCGACATATGCTTGCCCTTTCGGGCCTTTTTACCAACCGAAATGACAGATTTTACTACCCTTCCCTATACGTTAACAAGTAAAATCCCTACCCTTTCAGATACCTGAAGCCTGAGAAAGGTACCCCTTTCGGGCGGATCCTCCCCGTATAAGCGTTTTAGTGAGTGCCCCCCGGGCGTGTAGGCCTCATGGTTTGTGTGCGCCTGGAACGTTACCTTACCCTATGACAGACAAGTAAAAACCCATGCCTTGTCTAGCGGCACGGCCGGCCCTGTATAGTCTATATAGTTATAAAGAGGTGCTCCCCGATGTTAAGCATCACCTCTCTTGTCGTTTCAGGTCACTCTTGGAGTGCGTGACTTCATCACGTTCTACATGAGCCCCACCTTCATAGAGCCGCCCACCTTTGACCTGTCCAAGTGTTATGAGGACTCAGACTGCTGTGTACCGTTAATATTCGTGCTGTCACCCGGAGCCGATCCAATGGCTAGCTTGGTCAAGTTTGCAGAAGACATTGGTAAGACTGTGCGCCGCGTGATAAACCGCTGACGTATCGTTAACGCCTTCCAACCGTTACAAATACATACTTCATAATGTTTTTCATGCAGTTGATGTTGTTCCAGTAAGGGAAATATATTTAAAAATCCAGACCTTGTTTTTTCTTTGGTACTGTTTCCGTATACAGTGGAACCTGGATATTACGAAGGGCGTGGGAAGTGGCAACTTCATGGGGACTGGGACTTATCTGCTATAACGAGATTTTTTTTTTACAGCGAGGTTCTTTTTTATATATTTAACCAATACTGGGGTGAAGATTATCGTTCGTTAAAATACAGAGGACTTCGTTATACAGAGGTTCGTTATTTCGTGGTTTCACTGTATATTGTTGAATGGTCCCAAAAAAGAAAGAATGTTTTTAGGGAATCGTGTTTTCATCGGTGAAAAATTTGCTGCTATTTCCCTTCTCTTCTTGCCTTGAGTCCACCAACTTCACTTCTACATCTTCGTGGTTTTCTTGTGGACATTTTTACAGCTTTTTATTACCTTTGAGTGTTTTTCATGGTTAGAGATTTCTCCGACAAGCCATTTTACTTGGTTTTCATGGGAAAATCAACTTCGATTTTACAGTTGTGTGGGAGCTGCTCGTAAGACCTCCCCTGATTGGTCGTAGAAAACAATGACATGTCATTCTTTCAATTGTTTCAGTATTGTTTGGGGTCAGGGTTAGGCACCATTGGTGACTTCTCTTTCGAGCAGCCAATTTTAGAGTGACTACCGTAAAATTCCGAGAAGAAGCCCCTCCATGTATAAGCCCCTCCAAATATAAGCCCCCCAATGCGGTAACGCAAAAAGCCCTTCGTTAAATTGCCCCTCCAAATATAAGCCCCCCGGGGGCTTGTACTTGGAAAATTGCCCTCACATACAAAGTAAAACAAAGCAAAAACGGTAAATTTACTTCCAACTATATGGCTAGCCCAATCGATTTTGAAACGCAAATTTCCCTCCGTAGATAAGCCCCTCCGAATACAAGCCCCTCCAAAAATAAGCCCCTCAAAAAGGGCCTTTGAAAAATATAAACCCCGGTGCTTATTTTCGGAATTTTACAGTATCTTCCTTCCTTAGTTGCGTCACAGTGATTCTCGTAACACCTCCTAAAATCTTGAAATCAATATTGTGGATATTTTCAAATTTCTCTTTTTTCTTTTCCTGTACTAGGTGTGACCAGGTCTCATTTTCAGACTATTTCATTGGGTCAAGGTCAAGGGCCCATAGCGGCCAAGATGATCAATCAGGTAACAGGCTCTCTGTTAGCAGTTAACTCTTCCACACTTGAAGCATTTCCAAGGGAGTTTTATTTTATTTTGCTTTATACTAGTCGTGTGGGCTTCATCGCAGACACTCTGCACTGCCGGTATAGGGGCGTGTGGGTCGGCTGCAACGTAGGCGAATTCTAAAAAGTAGCTCATGGAAAAATACCGACTACTAAAGAGTTTTATTTAAGTAGTGGTACGATAAGATTTCGTCCATAGACTCGAACATTAGAACTGCCTAAACAACAAATAGGACTATGTGAAAGTACAGCTGAAGAGGTTTCATTTGAATGGTCATATCATAGGATTTCATCCACAGACTCAAAAGTTAAAACTACATACAAAACAATTACTAGAGTGTGAAAGTACTGCTGAAGAGGTTTCATTTGAATGGTCATATCATAGGATTTCATCCACAGACTCAAAAGTTAGAACTACTTAGAAAAGAACAGTACCATGTGAAAGTACTACTGAACAGGTTTCATTTGAATGGATACATCATAGGATTTCATCCACGACTCCAAAGCTAGTAGAACTACGTAGAAAACAAATAGCATCGTATGAAGTACTGAGGTGCTGAAGAGGTCTTATTTGATTGATCACACCATATAATAGGATTCCATTCACAAACTCAAAAGTTAGAACTACTTAGAAAAGAATATTACCATGTGAACGTACTGCTGAAGAGCTTTCATTTCAGTGGTGACACCTTGGAGGGTTCATTCCTGTTTGGGAAGGATGCAATCGTATAATAGTCGCCCTGGAATAACTCACTCTAACTGGACGACTAACTGGATTTCATCATAAAATAAGTCGAGTCGATAAGTTGAAAAGCGATAGTTATCTTTTCTTTTTAGGCCATTGAAGTAGGCGACTGGGTAGTCTTGCAAAACTGCCATCTTGCAACTTCTTGGATGCCTGTCCTAGAGAAGATATGTGAAGAGGTAATGTGTATTATTATCTATTCAAAAGATTTTGCCGTTTCTGATAGGCTCCAATCCCCCGCCCAATTCCTCAGAACCAATTCGCGCTTGCCATAATTGGAAGATGCGAACAATATACCTTCTATTTGATGATATGTTTGCTTGGAAACGAGGTTGATCGATGGTGTATTTTCCTGGAAACGAGGTTGCCTGGGCAATAGTTAACGGCTGTCCGAAACCAAAATAGGTGAATTTCTGGCTAAAACTGAATGGAATAATTGCAAGAACACAAAAAACATACTACTCGATAGATGTTATCTACTTTTTGAGAAGTATCTGCAAGACAAAAATAAACTTCTGTTTATACCCGCTGAAACTTTGCGCTATAGTTTTGAAGAAATTCTACGAGGAGGTAAGCTTATTAAGGACTTAGAAATATCTTGAATGAATAATAAAACAATTATTGAATTCGGCTTTCGCAAGATGTGAAGAATTATGCTGATCTCGGTGGTTGCTATTCATCGAGGCCGATTCTTGATCTGTATAAATTCTTTACGTCATGCTCAGCCTCATTTAATAACTGTGAATTATATAATCATAAGGTAAAAAGCACGGGACATCTACATGATAACGTGCTATTATTCAAGAGTCTTAAAAATAAAGGTTCTTCGTTAATTACTCAAATCATGGTTGTGACTTTGTTTAGGTCATCATTCCGGAGAAGACGCACAAAAGTTTTAGGCTGTGGTTGACTAGTTACCCAACCGAACGATTTCCTGTATCAATCTTACAGAATGGTAAGTGATCGGGAAAACGAAAGGGTTCTCTCAATTCATTCGCGCCCCTTTCTTTGATCTCTGCTTCGTGTCCCGGCTACTGTGATTTTTCTTTGGTCCAAGCGCAAGCAAGTTATTTTCTACTAAGTGAATTTATCGCGCGACAACACATCGGCTATATTGGTGGAGCAAAAGCAGTCAAACGGCGATTATGTTGGTGTAAACAGACACTTTTTTGTGTTCTTATAATCATACAAAATCACTGGCTTCGTGACTGAAAACGCTCTATAATTTTCCTCATCTGATAACGCCTACATGTATTTACATATACCGCCTTTTTACGATAACTAAGCAATTTCTTGCGCGCTGATAAGTGGAGATGTATGACTTGAAGGCGCAATTTTTTTCTCTGTCTCTCTCGCGCCCAATTTTCCAAGAAACGCCAGCGAAAATAGACTTTAAAACCTATACTAGCCTGAGAAAACAGCCGGCACTTAGCGATGCCACCACTGGTCTCCTCCCGAAATGACGTCTGAGGAACAGCTGCAGAAATTCCGTACTGATAACGCGTCACTACTCAGATCTGTGTAGCGCCTCAGATTGGTTGAGACGAATTTGTTTCGCGGCACGACCAATCAAAAGCACTACCCAGATCTGGGTAGTGACACGTCATCAGTATGGAATTTCAGAAGTCGTTTCTTAGACGTCATTTCGCGGGGAAACCAGTGGTACCGTCGCGAAATGTAGGCTGATTTCCTAGGCTAAACCTGTACATGTTACTGTAAAAAAAAAACCGCTTATAGACCATAGAAATGACGCCAAAATGTTCAAACTGGCAACTTGAGTTCTGAATATTCTGGCGTTTCCTATGGTCTTTAATTGTACAGAACTCATAGACCTTTCTTCCCCTGTTTTCTGCTAAACGAGCCCGTATTAAGCGGACACTAGTGTGGGTTCCGTGGGCACAGCTACATTACTAAGGTTACCATGTCTACTTTCAGGGGTGAAGATGACGAATGAGCCGCCGATGGGTCTCAGGGCGAATCTGTTGCGGTCATACCACAGCGACCCCATATCGGACCCGGCGTTTTTCAATGGCTGCAATAAAACCAAAGTAAGTTTTGTTGTGTTCCTTGTGTTCCTCAACCTGGTGTTGTTGCTGTTGCTTAACTTGTAGCTATTCCCTGCAGGTTTGGAAGAAATTGCTGTTCAGTTTGTGTTTCTTCCATGCGCTAGTCCAAGAGAGAAGGAATTTTGGTCCGTTGGGTTGGAATATTCCTTATGAGTTCAACGAGTCCGACCTCCGGATAAGCGTGCGCCAACAACAGGTGAGCAACGCTCAGTACTTTTACCCTTTCACTACTAAAGATGGCTTAAGTCAAGATTGAACAGCAGTTCTAAATTTCATTTTGAAAAATGTTGTAAAGCATGTAGTACCATGTGAAAGTACCGCTGAAGAGGTTTCATTCGAATGGTCACTACATGGATATCATCCATAGATTCAATAGTTAGAACTACATACGAAACAAATAGTACCATGTGAAAGTACTGCTGAAAAGGATTCATTTGAATGGTCACACCATAGGATTTCATCCACAGACGCAAAAGTTAGGACTACGTGCAAAACAAATAATACCATGTGAAAGAACTGTTGAAGAGGTTTCATTTGAATGGTCACATCATAGGATTTTGTCCTCAGAGTCATTCAGCTCTGGCAGCAGACGAGTTAATGATCCTTACTCGGAATTAGAATTTCGATTTTATTCAAGTTCATTCATTTCTAAAAATTTATTTAATTTTAAAAGCAGTGAACTAAGATAAAAAGGTGCCACAGACGAGTTCCGCAAGTCTGGGACGGCGTATTTTTGGAAGCAAGTGGACGGGGTGTATGTTATTTAATATTACAATCGCAGTACCTAGATAAAGCACATATGAGATGTTATGCGCTTGCTTCACCGTACACATTTGTAATTAGCTCTGTGGGACCTGTAGCTGACAGAGACGAAAATAACTTTATTTCTGTGTCAAACATACTACTGCAGTCTTGAAGTTAGGGGACTGTTTCCCTCTACAGATGTTTCTTAATGATTATGATGATGTTCCGCTGGAGGCTCTAACCTATCTTACTGGACAGTGCAACTACGGAGGAAGAGTCACCGATGAGAGAGACAGGTAGTTAACTCTTGAAGTTCTAACTGCATGGTTTTCCCGCGAAAGACGTGTGAAGATCGATTCATAATAAAAAAAAAAAGTATATGAGAATTAATGAAATTCTCACCAGAGGAAACATTGCTTTGATCTTTTAAAAAATTCTGTCAACTAATGTTTTAAGGAAATGTATGGAGATCAGTTTGGAGAATTTGTATGAGGATCTTGGGGCTTTAAGGGTTAATTTAAATACTTGCAAGCTGAACTCTTTTGACAGAAGCATAGGATACTGTTTCAGAGACCATTTTTACGATTTATTGTCCTACTAATCGTTACCAGCACAACCCGCCACCATAAATTTCATCATCATCATCGTCAATAGCATCAAAAACTCGTCATCATCTATGCCATCCTCGTCTCATCTCCATCGTCATCATCATTGTCATCATCATTATCACCATCGCATCATGAACATTATCGTTATTATTATAATTTTTTCCTAGGCGCCTTATAATGAGTATTCTATCCATATTTTACTGCCGAGAGGTAACTGAAGATGACAGCTATAAGTTTTCTAACAGTGGCTCTTACTTCGCACCGCCTGAGGTGAGCTTAATTAAGTCCGGGTTGGATGTTTACCAAGCGCGGCTTGGACCTTGTTCAACCCACTTTCCCCCCACGCCTCCCCCCCCCCCCCCCCCCCCCCCCCCCCCCCTCCCCCCCCCCCCCCCACTAACCCCACTGCTACCATACTCCCTCACTACCCCTAACCACATTGACGTGACGTAAGCTTTTCGTGCTGCCTTTTATATAGATTTTTTTGCTGTTTTTTTTGTCCCGAGGGATAAAAAGATGAGAGATATAAATGTTTTCACAGTGTGGTTTTCTTTCCCCCCCCCCCGGGGTGCGTTTATATAGCCCGGGGGTGTGTTTTTCCAACCCCCGCTGGCCGCTTTTTCCACCCCCCCCCCCCCCCCCCCCCCCCCCCCCCAAGTAGACTTCATAACAAACTGTCCCTATTTTTACGGTTACATCTCCACAAGACAATAGATCCTGTGATTCTAGTCGGTGATGATCGGCAAATTGTTGATGTGACGATTTCACACCTAATGGTAGGCCACTGGGAAGAAATGTTAACACGGGACAAAGAACGGTAATGGTACTTTTGGACGATCGCGCAGAGAAGATTTGCAAATTCATGGAGTCAGTGTAAATGAAACTTAAGTTGTTGTAACTTCTAAGTTTTATTCGTTTCCTTGTGTCTTCCTGTATTACGATTGAATTTGCGTCTGGACAAGACATGGGGACAATCGTCGATAAACACTGAAACGCAATTTGTCGTCTTGTTGGAGGCTTGTAGAAACAAAGGTTTTTCCAGCCGCCGTTTGAAAAGTAGATGACGCAACTTTCCGAAAGTTTGTTTGGAAGTAAATCAACAAACCGCAAGTGAAAGTGGCAGGAGACAGTGTTTCTAAAAAGGTAGCTTCCCTGGGGTTGTCCTTTACAAGAAACAAGAAATCATTGTTTTCTTCCCTTGCATTAGATTAACTCACGTTTAATGTTTAAATCTGAGCACAGGGTCCTTATGACAGTTACTTGGAGTATATCCGGAGTCTTCCGCTGACCCCACACCCCGAGGTACGTATACGCACGAGAAAAGGCATTTATTTGAAACGTTGAAGAGTTTGTCACCCCTGCTTGTTAACTCTTTGTGTGCAATGTTTAAGTAAGTTTCTCAAGCTGTCTTTGGTTTGATTGACAACTGTTTTCGGTGATTGACAGGTATTTGGTTTGCACGAAAACGCTGACATAACGAAAAATCAGCGCGAAACTCAACAGCTCTTTGACGGGATTCTCCTCACATTACCCCGGCAGGTAAGAAAGAGACGATTCCTGCCCATTTGTCTCTGGGTTAGATGTATTTCTGATCAACACCGGATATAGGCAAATCTTTGATTTTTGCTCATTAGCGTACGTGTAGAGTGTAGATCTAACTTTTAAGTAAAAAGTTGAAACAGCCGGTTTACTTGAACACTTTGGGCAATATTCAGCTATTTACAAGCAATATCTGAGGAACTAGCAGCCATCAAAAGCTGCGAAATTCCTGCATGGCAAAAAATGAGCCATACAGTCTTTGCAAATGTCCAGTTTTTAAAAACGTATTTCTCCGAAACTATTCCTTATTTTGGCCCCAAATTTTAAGAGATTACTAACATTGCTACCCTCTTTTTATGTTCAGCAATGTTATTTTCATAGCTAGATTAGAGAATGGTAAGCACTTGTTGATGACGCAAAAAATGAAAACAAAGACAGAGATTCGCTTATACGTAAACACCTTGTACGTATAGCAAAGCTTATTTAAAATAGTTTTGTTGGATACTTTTTATTTAATTTGTTCCTCTTGTTTTCAATGTGAAAGTTTATTTTTAGTTCGGAAGTCTCCATCAGTAAGCCTTTGTTGTCTTTCCGTAGACATCCAGTGGAGGAAAATCATCGCAGGAAGTGATCGAGGATTTAGCATCCGACATCCTATCTAAAATTCCTCTTCCTTTTGATACTGAAGTGGTTCAGGTGAGTGAGATTCTTCTAACGTGTATTACACACACACGAAAAACTACCATAGCACGCGTTCTCCTTCCTCGTGCGTCCACTGGGGTCAAACTTTTAAGAGGTTTTTCATTTTGTTTACTGCTCTTCGGCAAGATATAGATAGTTACTTTCCTGTTGCACCTAAAAATTAAATAGACAATACTTTTTCAGGAAATAATGCGGTAAAATATTGGAGATATACCTTTAATAAATGACATACCATAAAGAATTCCGCCATGGTTATAAGCAAATGCCAAATGATTACCTCTTCAAACGGTCACTCTATGTCGTCAAACTTCATAGGAGTCTTTTAACTAGTCACGTTATCTTTTTCTTCTCGAACTAATTCCTCCCTGTAACGGACACCTCTTTTCACCGTAATGTGAGGAAAAAGGTAAAATTTTAGGTTGTAACACAATCCCTGTTATAACTGGAAATACGTTTGTCGGAAAACCTCGCGAGGCTGTAAGGGGCCAAGTGGTATAAATAAAGAGAAAAGAAGCCAAAAGAGACTGAGATAAATATGATTAAGCATGTATAAATGTTTCATGTTGTAATAATTGTGGTGATTATTCTACAGAAAAAGTATCCTGTGTTGTATGAAGAATCGATGAACACTGTACTTCTTCAAGAACTCATTAGGTACGAAATACTACAATGGGTGGCAAACTGTGTGTCCTTGTTACCTTTATACCATAAATTAAGTTCTGCTCGATCAGGCTTTCTTTATCGATTGTCGGCTGTAGCACTTAACCCGTTGAGATCATCCGCTGCGGTTATGTGTTCGCTGTACATCAAAATAGTCTGTTTTATCCCTAAAAATGGGGCCGTGTCGGTGAGTAAAATACAGTGCTAGTTTTTGGCCCTAATTTTTGGCTCCCTCAGTACAGTCCAATTGCCCGTTGCTGGTTTGGACCCGCAGGGTGAAGTGAGTTCCATCGTGGGCTGGCATAGGCTTTTGATGGGCCTGTTTTGGCTTGAATTTTGCTCATTTGGCCTGAAGGGTTGAATTGGCACTTTAGGGCGGAACCAGATCTTTTTATTTACAGTGTAAGCCTTGAAGTTGCAATGATGTGGTTTAAAGGCAGAAAAACAACTAATGTACTTGAAAGCACTAAAACTTTAACAGAATTAAGTAATTCAAATGCACTTTGAATGCGACTTCGGTGACTTTTATCACCGATTGACAATTTACATTCAGTGTTTTTTCTTTCTTTCTATTTTGTTGCTTTCAGGTTTAATCGTTTGACAGGCGTAGTTCGATCAAGTCTTCAAAACATTCAGAAAGCCATTAAGGTGAGTATGTTCAACCTATAACTCTTAAGAGTCTTTAAGATAAGAAAAACAGGACGATTGTTCTGGAAGAGTCTATCCCGCTAATCTGTGATTGATAGCGAACTTTCAAGAAAGAAATGTACACCGAGTGGCTGTTGCGTTAGTAAGTGTCACGGTAAACCGAACAGCTGTTGCGTTACTAAGCTAGGCTACGATCACATGCAGGGCCCCGGACGAATTTTCGACCGGCTGAAAGGATTGACCGTACACTTTTCTGACACTTTGTTCACACGGGACCGTTCAATAATTTTGCTCTCTTCATACGGAACTTTGGTACGACTAGGTGTCTAAATTTTCGTACGGCTAAGGTAGTTCCGTGTGAATGGAACACCTGAGCTTACAAATGTTCAGCCGTTCGAAAATTCGTCCCGTGCTGTATTGATGTAGCCTCACACTTCATGATAAGTCAGCACCAAACGAGTGGAACTGAAGCGATTGCTGCTTTTTCTTTTGTCTCTTTGTTTGCTTACGTTTCCCTTTTGGTCTTGTACGTTTGACGTTCACAACCCCAATTAAAAAAACACGAGCGTTTTCCTAGAAGAGGTAAATAAATGGATCAGCTTTTTTTTTTGGTATCGTTGCTTGAACCTGTTATTATCTCTCTCACCCAGGGTCTTGTCGTGATGTCATCGGAACTTGAGGACGTGTTTGGAAGCATGATGGTGGGAAGGGTAAGATTAAGACTATTTTTACACCTCACCTAGCCTGAGTATCAGGCGTTTCTGGGGGAAAAGGGGACGGAGAGAAGCATCTCTCACATCTCCTCTCATCTCCACTAGCCCCTTAGGAAGACCTGATACTCAGGCTACACCTTACCGAGTAACTTTTGCGCCGAATCGAAAACTATAGCGGATAAGGCTTCTGTTTACACATAAGAACAAAGATTTGGGCGCGATTTCTGTAACGACGAAGCGAAGCTGCGCCAAGAGTCACATATCGGATAGGTGGTCATACTATACCAAATTGCATTTCGCGTCGGCACGAGAAGCTATCCGATAAAGAGTGAAGATAGCCAAAGACTCTCCACAGACAGAATTTTTCATCTCGCCCCGGATCCCCTAAAATTTCTTTGGTTTAACTTCCCTCAACCGCGGAGACAATTAAATATTTCGAAACTGGCCCATTTGATAGACGATGTGTCTGCGATGTTATATTTGCGTGTCGTTTACTGCTGACTCTGTTAGCCAAATGTCAAATTTGAACTCATTGAGAGAGTCATGCTCCTCTCCCTGCCCCAGTTACCTTTTGCTCCCTAATGGTCTTAGCCTGCGAGCAAGCTCAGTATCCCTGAGTCGAGGCTTGCTTGCAGACTATGCCGGACTGGACAGTAACTATTTTGTATCTTTTTATCAACAGGTTCCAAGCATGTGGGCGGCCAAATCGTACCCATCCCTGAAACCGCTTGGTAGTTACGTAGCGGACCTAGTAGCGCGCCTCAGGTTTTTCAAGGTAATTTCTCTTGGCTTTGATGATCTCATAAGAAAAACCTTCCGGGTATTTAAAAATGAAGGTCATTAGGGTTCGAGAGACGCCTATAAAGATGAATACTGGTCAAATCAAACTGTGGTCATTCTGCTGCA